AAATACTTTTTTTTTTTTTTTTTTTTTGAGAAAATCTAATTAAAGCCTCCTCTGGATGTTTTCTCCAACAATTTAAAGGTCTAATATAGTTAATTACTAAAATGGACTCTAGTTGAATGTACTTGTGTTCATAAACTTGAAGTTAAGGAATATATGACTTTTTAAGCCTTTTCAATGCAATCTTTCTCTTGGCTGTTTAGTTGCATTTTTGTTCTTCCCTGAAACTGCTAGTTTTAATTTAAACTATATGCACAATTAGGACAAAGTTATCTGGGAATTTCTCATTAAAAATGATACTTTTTCAAGATAGAAAATTAAATAATTATAAGATTTTGTTTCGATAATGACAAACATTTTGGTCAATTTTATCAGCTAAAGGCTTGATTTAGCATTATCTCCGTGTTGGTTTAAACTATGTGAAACAAACTAAATGTATTTTCAACTAAATTATCTGATATTCTGAATAAAAACAGAATCAATGCTACAATTTACAGGACTAGTCTTTGCGTGTAATGTCTGCATATAATCCTGCTTAGATTTACCATACTAATGGAAGAAATCAGAGGCAAATATAACCCCTTAAGGATTTTAGTGACAAATGATTCCTCTAAGAAAAAATGGGGATCTACTATTGGAAGCCAGGTGAACCAGTGGAGAGCTAAGTAAGAGAAATGGCACCTATCTCTTCTTGATAAGGTATAGGCTTTATCTTCCTTCTGTATGTCCTTGGTACTATGGTCAATTTGGAATCAAGGGAAGAAAAAGAAGCAGTGAATTATACGGTAAAACAATCCACTCAGAGTTAACAATGGTGAATTATAGATGTTGTGAACTCTCCTTTGTGAACTTGTGAAAGGGCAAAGGAGTAAATATGGACATTAAAGTGTCATTCTTTACTGAAGAAGCATATTGCTCCCCTTGATTTACCAAGACCTCATTCATCACAGATCACCCTGACATGGTGTATCAGAAGAGATATTCATTGGTTTTGATGAGCAATGGGAAGGATTCACACTGAATAGAAGCTGACATGTTATATATTTAACTGCTAATAATTTTAAATAATTAAATTCCTGTCGATAATGAAACGGTAGCCTCTGGGCAAAAGCTAACCATGAGACATGGGAAAAGTCAATTGTGCAATGACAGAGATAAAGGAAGTGTAGAAACCAGGAAAGTTCTACTTTGAGATGACCTTCAAAGCATATAAGCTCCTAAAGATGTTAAACAAACAGAACTGTTTTTTATGCAAATATTATAACTGAATCATTTTCTCCTTTTGAAGGAAAGACATTCTTCAAGGGAAGGCCACCGTATCAAAGCCAGGAGCACAGTATTCCCAGGATCTCAACAAGAAGGGGCAAACCCAGGTTGCTTCTGATTCCTTGCAACCTTCTGTAATTCCAGGCTTGCAGTCCCAAATTCAGGACCCCAATCCTCCAGGAGCAAATCGTTATAGTAACAAATTGCCTTCATCTTCCATACACCAGCTAAGCATGTTTAACTACGAACGGCCAAAACACTTCATCCAATCCCAAAATCCATGTGGCTCCAGACTGCAGCCCCCTGGACCGGAAGCCTCCAGCTACTCAAGCCAGACCAAACAGTCTTCCATTGTCATCCAGCCCCGCCAGTGCACAGAGCAAAGATACTCTGCTTCCTCAACAATGAGCTCCCACATCACCATGTCCTCCTCTGCTTTCCCTGCTTCTCCCCAGCAGCTTGCTGGCTCCAACCCAGGCCAAAGGGTTACAGCCACCTACAATCAGTCCCCGGCCAGCTTCCTCAGCTCCATATTGCCATCACAGCCTGATTACAGTAGCAGTAAAATCCCTTCCACTGTGGACTCCAAGTAAGTGAGTTTTTAAAATATATATGCATATGGATATACACTGTGCATACAGTATCTGATGGTGGGGGCAGGGGGAGGTAGCTCATTCACTACCTAAAAAGGCAATGTGACCTCAAGGTCTCATCCCATAATTCTCCTAGAACACCTTGAACCTGGGTACTGGCAATAAGGGGTCATCTGACCCATTATCCAATGTCCAGGCTGAGCTGAATCAAATCATCTATTACCACATACAATTACTTACCTATTATTTTCCATCTTCAAAACATATTTCTAACATACCCAAGAACAGTGAACTATTCCTCCAGTCCTAAGCTAAGTTCCTCATGCTGTAAATTTAATTTAATTGCTCTGGTCTGGGCTCAGCTGAGATGAACACCTGCCTGCTCGTCTTCAGATAGGATTTCCTCTCACATAAGCAGAGGCTATTAAATTTCTTCTCAGTCTCAGTCTTTCTTCCTATCCATTTCCCCCTCTGATCTTGAATATCCACTTGGCTAAAAAGAAAATCTGGGATTCAGACACTAAAGTGTATGACTTTTCCTTACTATGATCAGAAGAAGAAAGGCTTGAATAGATAAAAATTGATGACCTTAAGGTTTCCTTTGGTAATTAAAACCACCCTTTGTTCAAATCCAGGGAAGAATACCTGCGGCCTTATGCAAGCATGTACTATTTTCACAGTCCTAAAACTGTCCTAGGAGAACCTGATACGAAGAAGGACACAGTGGTTGTGCTTTTTTTAAAACATGAACTGAATACTTTGTGCTTATGTAAAGTTAGGGCTATCAGTTTTCCTATTCCTTGGCTGGCTAGAACATCAGAGAATTAAATCAGAGGCATCTGGGGGGAAAAAATGTCTGATGGAATGTGTTTTGTTGGTTGCAGGCTTATTGACAAATATGCTGAAATTCTTGCTAATTTCTCTCAGTTTCCTCTAGAAGCTAATTTTTTTCTAGAGATTCCTATTGTTGGTGACAACTCTAGAAACCTAGTTGAACTGACTATAGCATTGAACTTGCAAAGAAAACTTTTCAATATTTTTTAAGAATAAAAACCAGAAAAAAAATCTTAGATACTAGGCTGAACCATTTGAAATGGCTGAGTCAACTATTTTTGACCTACAAAAATGGCATCTCATGTTGACCTATTTTTATTTTTATAATTTTTATTTTAATTTGAGAGACACAGGCAGAGAGAGAGAGAGAATCATCAATGAATTGTTCCACTCATTTATGCATTCATTGGTTGCTTCCTGTATGTGCCCCGGCTGAGAATCGAACCCGCAACCTTGGTGTATCAGGATGATGCTCTCACCAACTGAACTACCTGGCCAGGGCTCTGAGCTATTATTTTTAAAGATGTATTCAAGAATTAAAATCCCTTTTTCTTTTCTCTCCCAAATTCCCATTATGCCCACTGTAACACACTGTAGATTTTTCTTGGTAACATTTTACCCAGGCGATCTTTTTCCATCTAGCTTTCTATTATTTCCAAATTTCCTATATGAGCATTTTAAAATCTAAAATAACCTTTTCTGACTATATTTTTCTTAATAGTCTTTCAATCCTACTCCAAATTCCTGCCCAGAAAAGAAAGCCATAAATAAATATTACTGAGCCTCAACCATATACCTAGCTCTGTGTACAGAACTGAGAGATAAAGAAAGGCAAAAATGAAGAGATAAGAAATAAAACACAGGAGGTCCCCAAAACAGAGATCAAAGGTCCATCTTTAGCTGTTCCATTTTCAGCAACCACAGATAACCCTTTTAATCTTCCCACAGCCACTTGATACCCATTCTGCGCCCAGCTGCACAGGGTGGAAAGCTCTGGCCCTTTGAACATTTGTGCACAACTCCCTCATTGTTATGATGGGTTTAAGTTTGCCATGTCTTCTAAAATAATCCCTTGGATTCTGACCTAGAGAAGTTTGAAAGCTTTATTTAGCTTTTCATTATTAGGAAACCCTTAAGCAAATGCTCTATTCGGTTGATCAAACCAAAGACTAGAAACTGAGAGGAACTCTTTAATTCTAATTATTCCTTCCAAAATCCTTGCTGTGTGATATTCAACTTCACCTTACCCGCTCAGTGATTCAGTTTTCTGATCCATAACAAAATTAAGGATCTGGGTAATTATAAGAAAAAAAGACCTATACAGCAGTGTACAAGTATAATATTAGTTTATAAATATGAGTAGATATCAAGTCCTGATACTTAAGCCATCTGGTAATAATGGGTGTATTCGGTGAACAAAGTGACTGAGGTTACATATACGTGAGTGATTCTCAGGCTTAGTTTTGATAATCCTTCAAAATTTCTCAGATATTACAACAGTCTGAAAAAAGGATTTTTTAATACTAACTCACTGTAACAAATGTGTGACTTTTGTAAAGATGGTAGCCTAGCATTAAAAAAAACAGTTTATTTTAACTTCATACAATTGGAGAAACAGATCTATAACCCAAAGAAATTTTACCACTTTGATCTGGGCATTCAAATGCAAAGCAAACGAACAAAAAACAAACAAACAAAAAAAAACCTCACTATTTATTTAAACACTTGGTTTGGCTGCTGACTTGACTTCAGGATTAATACAGACAACCCTGAAGATCTGACATGTAAGAAAGGGGAATGTGTATCAGCATCTTTCGTTACAAAGCATCTTGAATACAATGAAAAACATTCACTCATTCAGCTGATAGTATCACCAATACCCAAACTCTGTTAGTGGATATAAATGATACAATAATAAGACATTTTTTCAGTATGTGTACAATCTAGAGATTAGTAACCAAGTCCCCAAAGCCTACAAAAATTAAAATTCTGGCTCTACTCAGAGGAGATACATTTTCACTTAGCTTACAAATTCTTTTAATGATCCTTGAGAATATTTGAACAGGAATATGTCACAGAACAGACAAGCGTGCCTCATCTGGATAGCAAGAATGTTTATTGTAATAATGGTAAAATATTCACTGAAGGTAGTGGCCAGTTTCCCCACATTAAATAGATGTAAGCTAGCAACTATATGCCCTAAACGAATGAACTAAGTGAAATATGAACAAAGCACTGTGAAAACTGCACCTAACAGATCTAATAATACAGGAGTCCCTAAATACCACCCCTGCTCTCCATCAGAATCAACAGGGGATCTCTGACAGGGGCACGAACATCTTAGAAGAAAATTTAGGATCAGAACTTGAAATAAGGATTTAAACAAAACTCGACCACTATTCAAATTTACTTCCTTTTTCTCCAAATCTCCCCTTTTCTTAGTTTACATTTCTTTCTTCTTCCTCCCTTAATCATTCCTTTCTTTCTTCAGAAATCACTTTAGCAACATTAAAGAAACTGTCATTACTGTAGAAGCTATTTGTTATATAGTGCCATCTTGCATTTTCTAGAATAAGAAATTAATAGGAGCCCTAGCCGCTGTGGCTCAGTTGGTTGGGCGTTGTCCCGTACACTGAAAGGTTGCTAGTTCAATTCCAGATCAGGGCCCACGCCTGGGTTGCTGGCTTAATCTCCAGTAGAGGGAGTGCAGGAGGCAAACAATCCATGTTGCGCTCTCACATCGATGTCTCTCCCTTTCCCTTCCTCTCTCTCTAAAAATCAATTTTAAAATCTTTTTTTAAAAAATTAATAGGAATTGGAAATTAATAGAAAAGCCAATGACTATGTTAACTGTATTCTCCATTCAAAGCAACAGAATAGTCACTAAATACCAGTGGTTATACTGGTAAATGTGTAACAATCAGCTGGAGGAAGGAGCCATGATTTGTGGTATTTACCAATTTCCCTGGTGTAGATATTCCACCACCACCAATTTCAAAGAGATCACAGGGAGCTGGGAAGAGATGCTAAAAATCAGCCCTCTTGAGCCCAAAAGTCAAGCGCATCACTGCTTAATATCCACCTATAAATCAAACTTATGAAATTCAGTTTTAAGATTAGAAGTGCTCTCAAACTACAAGTAACTAGACTTACTTCTGTAGGGAAGATCTTCAAGGAAGGGCAGCCTCCTTATACCTAACCTAAATTGTTCCTCCTGCTACTTAATTTTCACTTGCCAAAACAAAAAGAAACAAAAAAGCTGGTAACAACTCATAAAACCCTTCTTAACTGTTACTAGGGAAATCAACACTAGTAGTGCTAAGTGTTAGATTCAACCTATCTAAAGGTGACTGACAAAATAAGGCCAACCCTCTTTTTCATACAAACCTTTTTTTTGTAATACATTTTGAAGGGATTAAGCAGGGGGAAAAAACAAAAAAAACCCATAGACAGACAGCAGTATGGTTATTACCAGAGGAAAATTGGGGTAGCGGGAGGTAGGAGAGGGTAAAGGGGGGATAAATGGTGATGGAAAGAGACATGAATTGGGGTGGTAAACACACAACACAATGTACAGAGGATGTATTATAGAATTGTACCTTAAACCTATATAATTTTATTAACCAACATAACCTCAATAATTTCAATTTTAAAAATAGATATACATCTTAAAGATCATCTTTTTAAAAAATCTTGTTTCTTTTTAAAGCTATCAACAATCCTTAGTTGGACAACCTATAAATGCTAAGCCATCCCAAAGTACAAATGCTAAGCCCACACCCAGGACTCCTGACCATGAAATACAAGGATCAAAAGAAGCTCTGATTCAAGATTTGGAAAGAAAACTAAAATGCAAGGACAGCCTTCTTCATAATGGAAATCAAGTGAGCAAGAAGCCTATTTTATACAAAAAGCCAATTAAACTATAAAATCTAATCTCAATAAGAAAGTTCTTTCTGTCTCACAGATCTATGACCATATAATCATCAAGGAATAGAATAATCTTTTATAAAAAGGAATATCTGGGTCCTATTTCATATTTCTCTGCATGAAATTACCATTTGGTCTTGAGTAGTAAAAAAATGAAGTGAATGAAAAGTCAATCTGAATGATTTAATATTTTGTTTTAAGCATTACTCTCTCATAAAATATGTCTAATGACCAAATAACTAATACTGTCAACCTGACTTCCTCATGTACTTTTGTATGTATTATTGGTGGACACAGAGCTACAAATTTTATTATGTAACTCTTATTGTGCACATTGTATTAGTCACCTATCTTTGAAACAGTACTATACGCCTTTAATCCAAATACATTTAGCATACCATTTGCACTGTTTTCAGCCAGAAGTTGGTAAATCAAATATTCAGTGTTCATTTAATAAAAGTTCTTTCTGAATGTGAGGACATGCAGTACTATTTTCAAAGACAGAGCTGACTGGAACGTACACAACAAGAAGGGAAAGAATTTCCCTTTACTTGGGAGAGCCTTATTTAAGGGTGCTTATGCCTGCCTTTCCAAGGAGCAAAAAGAAAACAAGTGAATACCACAGATAGAGTGGCACTAGAATGGGGGGAAATGCTCTGAATTAAAGATGCTTTTTAAAACATAGCATCTACTTATAATTCAAAAGACAGAACTATACTTCTTTGGTAAAATTCACAGTGGTTTTAAGTTAAATCTGTACAAACAATTTTTATTAAATCTCATTACCATTGTCCTTAATGATTTACTTCTTTACAGCGGTTAACATATGAGGAAAAGATGGCTCGCAGATTGCTGGGACCACAGAATGCAGCTGCTGTGTTTCAAGCTCAAAATGACAGTGAGGCACAAGATTCACCACAGGTAAATAAGAATACTCTTTGTCTAACTAGAGCTCTTTTCATGTGTATGATTTTTAAATGTCTGCTTTCTGAATGTTTCTAAATGGCATGTGAAGCAAAAGTGAACCACTTCCATGGGAGAGGCCATGATGGGCTAAAATATATATAATTTTAATTTTACCCCATTTTCTGGTGGTTCTAATATCTGCATAAGAAATGTCACAAAGAAAAAACACCAGAAGGCTAATGGAGTCACTTTTCATCTGGATGTTTATGGGTAAGTTAGATCCAGGACTCCAGGACTCTTTCTTACAATGTCTACACAGATAGAGAATTTATGAGTTGCAAATCATCAGTAGGACAGAAATTAAAACACTAAACCAAAGTAATTATAACCTCTTACAAGCCATTTATCATTTCAATGTTTTAAAATATATTCATGGTACAATGAAACATCCAATTCCTTTTGTCATGTTCCTGTATTTACAAATGTTTCTTATTAAAAACAACCAACCAACCAAGAAAAAAAACCCACCTTGAGTAATGGCTCTAAGATTAACAAAAGCATCCTTTCCAAAGAGGGATTAACTTTATGGAGAGCATAAAGTGAATATCCATCCCATAGGCTCATACCTGACCCACCTCACTTTAACAAGTAAAGTTAACCCTGAATAGAAGTGTAGAGTTGGAGAGGCAGACTGAAATGCTCTGTCTTCCTTCTTCCATTCCTTCCCAAAAAGCCCACATGAAACCAGGAGCCAAAGGGTTAAAACTGGGCACTCAACAATTCCAAACTTCTAAGTATAGGAAGCTGAAAATAAGATTTTTGTTTCTGTTAAATATGACCAGTCCTAATAAGAAGAATGGAGCAGGGTCTAACAGTACAAGTAACTAGAAACTGAAAACAAAATTTAACTCTCTTTTTGGCTACTGAACAGTTCATGCATTCATTCATTCAACTAATTTACATGGAGCACCTACTGTGGTGGTGCAGACTAGATCAAGTATAAGACACAAATATCTCTATTAGTGAAAATAATTCAAAGCAACATTCTATTGATGATGGTTTAACGTATAAATTCACAGCATATGATTTTAAGAGCAAGGATGTACTGTTTTTCTCATTCATTCTTTAAAAACTTTAAAATGAAGGTGACGGTAAAGAGATGGCAGCAAAATATATCATTATAAAATCAGAAAATATAAATCTTACTTTTTTTGTACACTTCAAGCAAAATGTCATCTAACTATGTATAACTGAAGTATCGCATCTATGAATACGAATATACACATATTCAAACCACCTTAAAGGGGAAAAGTAAAAACCTTACTTTGGATACTTTGAGTTTAACTGGATTATTTTTATTTTTTACCAAAAAATTAGTTGATTTGTTTGATCACTGAATTGTTGTTTTGACATTTTGCTTAGAAAAATCTTATGGCTAGCCAAAAGTTGTGACAGTTTTAAGAATTTTGTTTTAAAATGACAAAATACTTTCAACATATTCATCCAAAAATAAATTATCTGCAATGATTTGCTGTGTTGCTGTACAGATGGTTCTTCGGATATTTGGGTAGGAACTATATTTTCCCCGTTTCTGTATCTCCCACTATGCCAAGCACAGTGAAATACACAGAGTAGGCACTAAATACTTAATCCATTTATTGATTCTATTATAATTTCCATCATTCCTGATTTTATTTTCAAATAGAAATAATTTTTTGGTACTCAGACAATAAATTCTAAAAGATGTTAAATTAAGTATACCTTTATTAAGCAGGAAGTAATTAACGTTGTTTTTCAAAAAGCCTTTTCAGAGCTCTACACATATCTTCCAAGGTGTTCATCAGGATTTTGTGTCATGAGCTAAAAAGAGAAGTATTTTCCAGTCTAATATGTGTTTACTGCTGTTGGTGCCACTTTTGAGCAGCAGGCATAACACCCTGTATCTACTGCCAACACAAGTGACTTCATGTCTATTCCTGTTTTACTAAAGGACAACCTGTACTACGTGCTCTCATTTCAAATACACCAGGGGGACACACCGTCCTTTGTCATAAAACAGTCATCTGAAAAATGAACCCTATCAACTCAAAGTCTATGTAATTTTCATAAATCATGCCTGTGGAACAGCCTTATTAATTCTGGGATTTCTTGCTAGAATATTAGGTTAGTGCAGTATGTTTTAAACGTTTAAAAGCTAAATTTATAGAACTAGCCGTATCTGCAAAAATATAGCCAACAGAGAAATGTTCCTTTCAACTACAAATGCTTAGTTCTGTTTCATTTCAAGCTAACAACTACATATTAACATTATCACTGTTTTAATTTTACACAGCATAATTCGGCACATGCACGGTTGCAAGTTCCTACATCACAAATAAGGTAAAAAAATTTAATTTTAAATATATATTTTGCTATCTAAAATGTTTTCAACTTACAAATGTAATACTTATAAAGCCCTCAAGCTTCCCACATACCTTTTATAAAAAACAAGGCAAATTTCCTAATGTCAGAGATAACGATCAAAATTTTATCTGGCCCTGGCCAGTGTGGCTCAGTGGTTCGGGTGTCGGCCCATGCACCAAAGGGTCACAGGTTCAATTCCTAGCCAAGGGCACATACCTGGGTTGCAGGTTCGATCCCCAGCCCCGGTTGGGGCGTGTAAGGAGGCAACCAATCGATGTGTCTCTCTCACATCAATGTTTCTCTCACATCAATGTTTCTCTCACATCAGTGTTTCTCTCTCTCCATCTCTCCCTCTCTCCCCCCCTCCCTCCCTTCCACTCTCTCTCTAATCACTAAAAAAATATCCTTGAGTAATGATTAACAAAAATAAATAAATTTATCTGTTAAGGCCCTGGCCGGGTAGCTCAGTTGTTTAGAGCATTGTCCTGGTATGCCAAGGTTGTGGGTTCCAGTTCTCATTCAGGACACTGTTAATTATTAGAACTATCTCAGAGGAAGTTTTTTAAATATTTTAGTCAAATAAGCCAGGACCACGTTTCCATGTTAAACAACTTTTTCATAATGGAAACCCAATTCTAACAATCTTTGCATGTGATCACTGTCCATGGGGTACTTTGCATTTGAATAGCTCAATTTCTTCATCAATTCATAGCACTGTAAAAAAGAGTGTAATTTGTACCAGATGTTTCTAAACTACTACCATTTCTAACAGTTATCAAATGTTCCACAGCTAAATACAGCCCTAAGGCCTCTCTCCATTGTTAATACACTATCAAACAGTATAGACTCAGGGTTTCCAATGTGATGGCTAAACTGTATTTGTGTGAGAGGAAGAACAATGACAAGTTTTTGCACAGTGGTTATTAAAATACTTTTGTAGAAGCAGATCATCTTCACGGGGAGATGTGAATGACGAGGATGCAATCCAGGAGAAATTTTACCCGCCTCGTTTCATTCAAGTGCCAGAGAACATGTCAATTGAAGAAGGAAGGTTCTGCAGAATGGACTTCAAAGTAAGAGAAGAGTTATAAAATACTGGAGGAAAATTAACAATGGGATACTGTTTTGAAAAATGTCCCCTTCCTCTTCGTAGCTTGCTACACAGCTTGGGAAGCAATATGTATAGTGGTAAGGACACAAATGCTGGAGCCAAGCTTACCTGGGGTGAATCCTGGCTCTGTCACTCTTCAGCTATGTAACCTCAGACAAGTCACTTAACCTCTCTGTGCTTTTGTCTCATCTGTAAAATGAGAATAAATGTACCTACTTCATAAAGTTGTCTAAGGATTGAGGGAATAGGTATAAGGTATTCACAGTAGTGTCAACCACCTAATAAATTCTCTAAGTGAAGCCATCATAACAGGGTTTCTAAAGCAGAATAGCTCCTTAGTTCCTCGCCACTAAGAAAGTCAAGCAACCCTGCTTTCTCTCAGCCCAGAAGAGAGTCCTTCAAACTAGAATAGTTTTTCCTACAATTTCATTATCCTCATTTTGGAGAACTTTTTCCTATAAAATGTTTTTCTGGATTCCTTATGAATGAAAGTTAGTGTATAGATTTATTTGTTTAGATTTATATAAGAACACTTAACAAACTGCCACTTATACATCAGAACTACAGCTCGAGAACCTGTTTCGGAAAGGTTACTCATGAGATCAGCAAGCCTCACATATGTGTGCTTCTGGGACTGCATTTGCAGTCACCATTAGCCAGAAAAGCCATGACTTCCATATTCCTTAATTAAAAGATCTTAAAGAGCCTGAGGTTGCATATGAAAGAGCTACATGTGGTTTTAGAGAGTCTGAAAATACTGTATTAATTTCAAGAGTTTTAATTTGTACTGTTTTGTTAAAAATTATTGAAAGCAAATACCTTTTTAATCTCTTGCTTTGCATTTTCAATCACAAATCCACTCAGGTACTGGAACTGTTAAAATTCAAAGACAAATGGGTTCCAGTGATGCTATAATTTAAAACTCTGTCATCTCCTTGTATTTTCATTTCTAGGTGAGTGGACTGCCAGCTCCTGATGTGTCATGGTATCTAAATGGAAGACCAGTTCAATCAGATGATCTTCACAAAATGATAGTGTCTGAGAAGGGTTTTCATTCACTCATCTTTGAAGTGGTCAGAGTTTCAGATGCAGGGGCTTATGTATGTGTGGCCAAGAATAGAGCAGGAGAAGCCACCTTTACTGTGCAGCTGGATGTCCTGGGTAAGCCCTCCAAGAGATCATAAAGTATCTTTAATCCTGCAGTATTAAAAAACAAAGTATTAAAAAAGAAAATCCATATTTTAAACAAAAATAAAATTAAAAAATAAAAATTAAAAAAAGAAAATCCCAGAGCACTTCATATTTAAGGTTAATGTCTACATTATACAACCCAATAGAACCATAGTTTTTACCCAAAAGCCACAAATCGGGGTGGGGGTCTGAGGTGGATCATATTCTTGAGGGAAACTCAGTGAAACTAGAATGAATCTACCACCAAAGCTTTTCTGGTACAATTTCAGACAGACCAAAGAAGGTGGTAGAAGCATTTCTACAGATGTAACTAACAGGTCTTAAAATGAAAAATTTTAGTCTAATCATTTCTCTGGTCTATAGTCTAAAATAATCAATCTGACTCACATTTTCACAGAATTGTCATAATCATGCATAGTTGAAAACTGAAGAGTAAACATCAACTTTTGGCCTTGAACTGTGCTCCTTTTACTAGGAAACTCATCGGTAATTATGACAACAAAAACATACTTACTTGCGTTAGAAAACATTATGGCAAAACTCATATCTCAAATTTTCTTTGTCAGGCAGTTCTCATAAAGTTGATGTTCTGTTTTAAAATATTACAATTTAAGTGCTTTAAATATATCACATTTGTAATGTTTTAAGCCATGGTATATCACATAAAAGAGATTTTTGCTATAATTCATTGTTTGTTATATAAAAGCTTGAGAAGTTGAAAATTTTTCTTCAGTTTGTATTCTACCCAGATCAATGAAAAAATTATTCTGACACAATAAGGGACCTCAGTCTAAGGGAAAAACTAGTGATCTAGAAATCAAAGAACACAAACAAGTCAAGTGATTAAGCTTTGGGTAAATCCTCTTTATGCCAATAGCTCCAGAAATACTATAATGTTAGAGCTGAAAGAGACCTTGGCAGGCATCTGTCCAATCTCCTCATTTCTCCTTCAGAAAAGCTAGGGTTATGGTAGTATAGTATCATTTCCTTCTTATCCCTAAGGTATTTGAAGACAAGACATAATAATTACTGATATTAGCATATTATTTTATAGTTTACAATGTGCTTCTTCATTCATTATCTCAATTGATCCTCACAACAATTCTGTATGGTAAGCACAGCAGTCACTATTACTTGGGTATTGTATTATTTTTACAGTAGATAACACTAAGCCTCAGAGAACTAAACAAATTTTTCCCAATTTGGCATGGCAAACGGGGTAAATAGAGAATTTGAACCCAAGTTGATGGTACTCTTTCCACCACTCATACTGCCTCCCTATAGATGACACAATACATGAGAATATGACTTAAATTCTTTGAATGAAACATGATTATAAATTCACTGCATCAATACCTTACTGTTTTAGAACTCTGAATGGTATAATAATACAATAGTTTTGTATATTATTTTAGCTAAAGCTAAAACATGAAGCTTCCAAACCTTTTTACTTTTAAAAACTTTTATATCAACATACAAATTTTATAATACTTTGGTTTGACTTAGTATCTTTTTTATATTTCAAATACTTGGTTTTTTTAATATGTAGCAAAAGAACACAGAAGAGCACCAATGTTTATCTATAAACCACAGAGCAAAAAAGTTTTTGAAGGAGAATCAGTGAAGCTAGAATGCCAAATCTCAGCTGTACCTCCACCAAAACTTTTCTGGAAAAGAAATAATGAAATGGTACGATTCAACACTGATCGAATAAGGTAGGATAAGTATTTCTAGACTTAACTATAGTTTACTTTGGTGAATCCAGTTATACTTTGAAATGCATTATAAATGGCATGCATTTGTGATCTCAATTTGTCTTGTTTTTAAAACATATATAGAAATATAAACCTCATTAAGCCAGAACCCACTAATCAGAAATTTAAAGCATAAAGTAGGCTGTCATTTACCTTATAAATGCTAACAATAAACAAAGATGGCTCAAGGAAATAGGTGGTATAAACAAGATTTGGTGTGGGGATGTTTAATGCAAGAAAAGCAATAGCTATTTATTTGACAATCACTAAATATAGCCTCAGAATTTCCAAATGCTTCTTTTTCGTATTAGTCTGACATTGTAGATCACAAACATCATAAATAAACTTTCACAGAAAAATTAATTCCTATCATTTCATTTTTTAATTGTTTCTTTTCAGCTTATATCATGATAACTCTGGAAGAGTTACTTTACTGATAAAAGATGTAAACAAGAAAGACGCTGGGTGGTATACTGTGTCTGCAGTTAATGAAGCTGGAGTGATCACATGTAACACAAGATTAGATGTTACAGGTATGTCACACTGTTATCAAGTGTTATGTCAAGTGTTACAAAGGACTCAACCAGGAAGACTTAATAAGAAACACAAATCCCAGCACAGCACAAAATCTGAGGGATTTTTCCCATATATAATCAGTTTTGATTTCTTTTTTCCTATCTGATAATGAATAACTAGTGCAACCCATTTGTTTAGGTTCTCTGAGTTAATTTTTATTTGATCTATTTCAGCCCGTCCAAACCAAACTCTTCCAGCTCCTAAGCTCCGTGTTCGGCCAACTTTCAGCAAATATTTAGCACTTAACGGAAAAGGTTTGGATGTGAAACAAGCTTTTAACCCTGAAGGAGAATTTCAGCGTCTGGCAGCTCAATCTGGACTCTATGAAAGTGAAGAACTTTAGTCTACAGCCATACCACCCTGAACACGCCCGATCTCGTCTGAAAGTGAAGAACTTTAATAACTTTAACAACATTGGAAAACACAACTACACTATTAGTAATATATTCAATTAAAATTTTGAAATAAATCCATAGCTGTATTAACAGATTATGGCTTTCATTAGGTAATATAACTAATGTAATTTATAATATTATTTATCCTTTGACTATTGCACATTCTATCTACTTCTCTGGTTTGTGAAGCCAACAGAAAATCAGGGTACATGGTTTGTAATTGCAGAAGACCACCTTAAAATGTGGGATTTTTAACATTTAAGTCACACATTTAATAATTACAGGTTATGAATTATCAACTTTTTAGACACACCTAATGCTTGCAATAAGGTTTATTGGTACTGCTTTCTCAATACTGTTTTACCCATTTTCTCTTATAGAAATTCTAACATGGTATAGATTATCTGAGTGTTCCACAGTTTTATGTCAAAAGAGAATAAAATGTCAAATTACTTAAAACAGCCTGTTTCCTCTTCACAAAAATCTAGATCTTTAACATAAAACTTCTGGTTTTTATTTATCAAACAACTAACATGCTCTATGAATAACAAATTCCAACATCATATTCTAGAGCAGTGTTTCTTCTTGGTAAAACTCACAACTCAGTCAATTTCTCCTGAAACTGGGCTAGATTTGCACTTCAAAAGCATAAGGAAATCTCTCCTGAAATTGTTTTAACCAAATAAGTCACTAATTCAAGATCTTTGAGACTACTGAACTCAATGGAGTAAGAACAGTATGTAGAGTTATCTGCTTAGTTCTTATATTTAATATAAATCTGAATAGCTGTATTTGGGGGGGGGGGTTCCTCCTGCATTTTACGTTCAGATAACCTGTTACATTAAAAAGCATAATTTTGTAAGCATCTGAGAGTCTAAGTACAGGAAAGGGTAAATCCTTTTATTAACCTATTCTTAAGCTAGGACAGTAGCCGTTTCTTTTTCTCAGGCTGTCAGCCTTTTGCTAGGCCTCCCCTGTTCCTTTCATCATTGGTAGCCTCTGACCCTCCCCGCTGTGTGGCCTAGTTTTGCTTTTTATCTGCACATGAAACAGCATTCAGCAACATCAGTCTACATCTCTTTCGGGGAAAATAACAAAAATGGCTTTATTTTTTTACTTTCAAAACAGCTTGATGGTTTTCTTTGCTGGCTGTCCTGGGGCCTTTCGACTGATTTCCATTGTATTTTCCTTTGACCAACATGAGAATCCAATCAGTCTCAAATCCTGGCGAACTCTGGATGCCTTAATTCACAGCCAGATTCGTTCGGCCTTTCCTACAGCTGGTTTACAAGCCTCCTTTCCTCCTCTTTGCAAAGCTTCGGGGCAGGTGTGAGTCTGGGCTCCCAAGGGCTGCTGCTTTGGCCTTTCACATAATCACTGCAGAGCTGGATTTTTATTGTTACTTTTTAACCTATTTTAACGTTCCCTTTAGCCATACTGGGTGGAAAATAAAGATGGAAGCTACTTCTAGCCACAGCTCTCGGTTAATAACCAGGTTCCACACGAGCGGCGGCCGCGGGGGGTCCGGGGTACGCAGCTGGGCGCCGGCGGGCGGCCGACCTCGCCCGACGGGCCGGGGACGCGGGGAAACGGCCCTCTCAGCACCTCGGCTCCTTCAGACTTAAAACGAGGACAAAACACCTACCTTTCAAGAAGGGGTGTGTGAAGACCAAACACGCCCATAAATATGAAAGGTATTCAAGAAAGAGTAGCCCGTCCTAATTAATTACTACCACTTTTATGACTGACCGCAGGCGCAAAGCCAGCTCTGCCCCGGAGGTGCGCGCTCCGCGGGAGACGGCGCCGCGCTCTCCCAACCCCGCCTCGGGCGAAGCCCTTCCAGGCGCTCCTCGGTGCGCACGCGCGCTTGCGACTTGGAACTCAGTCTGCGCCCCTCGAGGAGCCGCGGGCTCGCGCAAGCGCACGAGCTCGGCGGCTTGCGCAGGCGCGGCGGACCTGGGGAGGTTGAACCGGCGTCTCTTCCAGGGCCGCCATGCCTGAGGCGTCCCGTTGGCACCGAGGCGGTGAGGGCTGCTCCGAGCGGGGGGGGGACTCTGTAGCCCCGTGTGTGTTCATGTGAGAGAGATGGCCTCCAGCACGTTTAGCCCTCGCGGCCTCCCCTTAAGCGGAGGGGGACGGTGGTCCCATGTGTCAGATGGAAGCCCCGCAGGGCCTCGGCGCGCGCCCCTCGCCCGAGGCTCGAGTAGGCCCCGGGCGTTTGCTGTGCTATCGCGGTCGCTCGACCAGTAGGGAGGCGTGACCTTGGCCGAACCCCAGGCGGAGTCCTTTTCCCCCTTCTGTATGGACTGGGGGAGAAAACGACTGGGGACAGATGGGGGGTAGGGGGGTTATTTTGTATTTTGCTTTTTCATTTCAAGACAGGACTGGTCTTTTCCTGTACATCCCTTCTATGTTATAAAATTCATTAGTGTAGAGTCACAAAGAGTGCCCGCTCACCCACGTGGGAAAATGTTAGTAATTATTGCTCCCTTATAAAAGTGAGCATAAAAAAAATAATCAGGCCACTGGCCGTGTCCTTCACACAGTGTAGCACTAAAAGGGGCTGGTTTTCTGCTGTTATTTATATACATTATGAATTACATAATAACGTAAGGAAATTTTTGTTTTATACTTCACAGGGATTCCAAACCATAAGCTGCAGTTCAGAAAGGAAGTAGAGAGTACAATCACACCTCAGGAGTTATTACTCTACTTTATTTTTTTAATAAACCTATGTATATGTAAGTACACAGATGGAGATGAAAATGAAAATGCTGCTTGAACTAAAGATACGTGGAGATGAGAAATAAAACGTGGACTTTATAAAACTATAGGCTTTCAGAATACTAAAACCTCAAAAACTAGTGACACGTTTCAGACATTATCTTAAATTCATTTAGACTGACCCTATTTTCAAACTTTAGATCACAGATGTAATGTAAAACTTTCATAGGCAGCATTGATTGGATTAATTATTCCTTTCTGTTGGCATTTCTATCTTGAATATAAATTATCCCCTTGAGTTGGCAATTCTAACTTGATTTCTTTTAGAGCCATATAGATACATTAGCTCAGTTTCATAGGTCAGTGAGGCCAGAGAAGTTAGTTTTAGTGTCTGCTTTGTTCTTTTCCCTGTTCTGTTGCACAATTAATAGTAAAATATGCTTGTGCTGAGTCACAAAACATGGATCAATGCAGATCTTTTAAGGAGGACTGGGAAAACTTAACCTGCATTCCTCCTATCTGGGTCCATGGCATTGACTTAATAAGTTGTAAAGAGCATTTTATCTTTAGAGCACCCAACATAGAGTAGATGTAAGCTCACTAGCCCGACTTGGTATGGACTACATACTGGCAATCACACATCAATTAATTAATAGGTTTGTAGGGGTGTGCTTGAATTGGGTCTTGATTAAAAAGACAACTATAGCCAATCTTATGAATTAAGATATCTTAAACTGATTTTTTTTTTAGATTTTAATTTATCGTTGAAAGTATTACAACGGAAGTACTGATCCCCTCCACCCTGCATCCACCCCACCCCCAGGCCTTCCCCAAACTATTGTCTTTGTCATAGACTGATTTTTAAATACTACAGAACATTTAGTGAATGGAAAGATATAAAAAAGATCGTAATCCCATTATTCAGGGATCAAAAACCTTTATATAATTAGAAAGAATTGAAAACAAATCTCCATCAACAGAAGATTTGTTTAACACTGTACAGTGAAATAATGCAACATTAAAGAAAGGCATAGGCTCATGTGTACCCTGGAATGATGTTCAAGATACATGGTTTCTAAAAACTAAAGGGCTTCTAGCAGAAAAGTTAATCTATACTCTGCTCTAAAACCCACCCACCCCTAGAAAGAAAGAGTAAGGAAAAATGCTAGTTAATACTTGTTAAAATTCTTACCATGTGCCAAAACATGGTTGTAAATGTTCCACATGCATTCTCTCACTTCTCATAACAAAACTATATAGTAAGAGGTATTATTCTTGATAGGACTCTGTTATCTGTTTGTATTCAAAGTCCCTAGTCTTAAATACTCACCATATGGAAAACTTAATTACTCTCAATATGGAAAAAAGCCAGCTTGCAGAATAGTATGTATAATGTGATTTCGTTTTTGTAAAACTAAAGTTATTTTCTTTATAAATGTGTACGCATATAGAAAAATCTGGAGAGTATATGCCAAATCTAACTCTAGCAGTGGAATTACAGGAGTCTTCTTCCTGTTTTGTATGTATCTGTTTTAGTTTTTTATTCTTTTATAATTACTGACAAAAATTAAAATTGAATTTCAAAAGAAAATTGGGAACAAATATGTAAGTACATATTTAATCCTGATAAACTCAGTTTTTAAATATAAGTTTTTAAACAAAAAATTCTTCTCCTTAGTGGCTTTTGGGATGGTAAACCCACATATGTATTACTTAAACAAAGTTATGTCATCTCTGTTTTTGGATACTTCTCTGCCTGATGAGGAAAGAACCAACTTTAAGTCTATCCGAAACACCAGTGATTTTTGGAAGGTAAGGTGTCATGTGACTGTGGATAAAGTAGCTCTAAGTATTGCATTTGGCACACATAGTCGGCACTTGATACAGTACATATTTGTTGAAGGAATGAGTAAAAATGAGTATAATTTCTTTATATTAGAATCAACTAACCAATGAGTATTTATTAAGGACCTGTGTTCTCAGTGTGAGTTCTTGTAACTTTTAAAATGTAAGTATTATTTATTGCATTTTGAAAATAGGAAACTTGCCCGGCCGGGCGTGGCTCAGCGGTTGAGTGTTGACCTAGGATCCAGGTAATCGGGGTTCAATTCCCGGTCAGGGCACATGCCCGGGTTGCGGGCTTGAACAGTGACTCTCTCGTCATTGATGTTTCTATCTCTCTCTCTCCCTCTCCTTTCCTCTCTCTGAAATCAATAAAGATATATTTTTAAAAAAAAAGAAAATAGGAAACTTGCTTCTTATGTGGGAGTTAGGATCCAAAGACAGTTTATAATTGTGTACAGTGAAAATTACTCTTTTTAAAAAATCCTTAAATTGCCCATAAAGTAAAATATATGTGGATTTGGGTATACTATACAACCCTGTACTGTGTGAGTGTTACAATAATATAGAGTATATATACAAAATATAATTTTATAGTGTTTTTAATTGTGTAAGAGAATCATTCCTTCAACATTGGAACAGACTTGTTTTTTCCATTACACTTAGCAATATACTTACATTATGAGGAAAGAACAGTTAAGAAAACAGCAGTTTCAGGTATCCCATGTCACAACCATTGGAGCATACATGGAAGAGGCAGGGAAGGCTTTCCAGAGGTGATGACTATTCAGTTGAGGTTTAAGGGATGAGTAATGGAAGGGCATTCTAGGAAGGATAAACAGTATGTTTTATAAGTAATTCCACATATGGGGCTGTTTGACATTATAGGCACATAGAAAATGAGATAGAAAAGGCCAAACTGTGAAGTCAAATCATGAGTGCTATGCTAGGAATTTGGAACTTATCAAGGAGACAAGGTCATCATCATCATTATCATTAATGTTGGCTTGGTCAGTAACTTAATTTTTATACTCATCCTCAAAATCACTGATTTTTATACTATGGATAACATTATGAATATAGAGTCTGTTATACAGTTGACATGAAAATATTTTTCCCATAACATTTTTCTATGTGAAGTTTATGGAAGGACCCCTTTTAGATGGTCTGTATTGGGACTCATGGTACAACAACCAGTTGTATAATTTAAAGAACAGCAGTCGCATCTACTTCGAGAACATACTTTTAGGAGTCCCCAGAGTCCGTCAACTAAAAGTCCGAAACAACACATGCAAGGTCTATTCATCCTTTGAGTCTTTGATAACGGACTGTTATGCCAAATACACTTCTGAAAATGAAGACATATCTGATTTTGGCCTTACACATGATACTGAGTAAGTAGTATAAAATTGCACATAACTTTTTTTTAGCAGCTCACCATTGTATCTTTAAACAATTTTGAAAATATGTGTGTTTTCCAAATAGTACCAACAGGGGTCTTATTCCAGTAATAGTATCAGAGGACGGCTCAGCAATGCAGTGTCAAGAAAAGGAAGAATTGAACCTGTTATTTTTTTGTCTACCAAATGATATGAACTGTCTTCATTTTCTCTGGTATATGAAGTACTAAGTCATTGAACACAAGGCAAAGTGTCCATTTTTGCTCTTACAATACTCCATGAGCTCTTCTGGCTCTGGCCAGACTCACCTCAAACACATCCCAAATGCTTCTTGGGATCCCCAAGGAGTACCCTAGGTGTGGGGCAACTTTCCTTCTTCCTTACTCTGGCTCACTTCAGCGATATCTCTATTGGGGCCAGTATTAAAAAGGGGCAGTTATGCTCTGCAGGCATTGCCCTGATGATGCCTCCCAAAAGTGTTATGGCCATGGTTCTCCAAAGTGGCTGAGGCTACTGCTGGCGTAGATTCCTGTCTATATATTAAAAAAATGTGAAAGCCCAAAGCCACTGACACTACCTCCCCTTAACACAGAAGCTGCTGGCATCATTGCTTTTAGGGTCCTATGAAAATCTTAGGGGGCAGATAATAAATCTTTTTTAAAAATCTAATATTCACCAATTCACAAATATGGTGACATTATCTTAAGTACTGCAGTACTATACACTGTTTCCCCTTCAACAAGAAAAATTACAAGATAAATCAATTATTTAAATACACATTTTAAATTGGAATTTCAAGACTAATCTGTTAGGTATTCAATAATCCAAATTCTCATAACAACTACAAATAATTTAAATACCAAAATTAACACTATGGATTTGGAATTGTAATAACTTTCATTCCCTAACAACCAAAATAAGAATCAATTTGTGCTTGTTTGCCTGTCTAAAATGGAACATTCATTAATTAAAAACATAAAAAATTGGAAGTAGGAGAGTGTTGGTGTAACAAATGTCCTTGTTTCAGTTTAACAATCATGTGAAAAACATTCAAAAATAGAACTATGGACTTTTCTTTAAATATGAGTATTTTTTTCTTAGTTATGTCACTTTTTAACCCCCTGCTGTAAACATAGTATTATTAATAGAAATACGATTTAAGAAGTACGTCTTTGTATAATCGTTCCAATCTGTTTTGGGGAGACGGAATGACTAAAATGAGGAATCAGGCTTTATTTTTTTTTGATACACCACAACTAAGTTAAAAGTAAAAAAAATGGAAACAAAATTTAGTTACACACATTTTGCTTTGATTTATGTACCTTCATTAAAATAAGATACCTATATAACAATAAATAAATTATAAGTTCTTATTTACTGGGCATTTTATAAATGGTATATGACCTTTAGAAGACAGACTACGAAGCACCTTTTTTTTCCCCATGCTGAGACAGATATTTCTGAATCACAACCCTTGGTATTCTTGTTCTAGTCAAAGACTTAAGATCTAATAAAATAACAGAGACAGTATGTTAAAGAACTCAGTCATTATTTTCTAGATTTTAAGCTCCCTGAGGCAAAAACAGATTTAATTTTTTTTCTCATAGCAAGTAGTCCAGTGTCTTGTCCACAATAAGCACTAGGGAATGAAAACATCAAATATTAATTCTTTTAACTTCATCCTTAACTCATTGTCTTTTTTCAAAATGACTATAATACTCAAGAACTTAGTACTATTTTTTTTTAACTACCACTTTCAATCAAAGTTTAGCTGAAATTCTTAGAATACGTCTCATTCAGGCCTTTTCTCAGCTCTCCATTATTCTTTTTATATCCAACAGATGGAAGTATTCTACCCCTAGTAGCAACTCCCCTTGGTACAGGGGATTTGTTGGTGTTTACCGAAATGGGGGATATATTTTCATTTTATCAAAATCAAAATCTGAAACCAAAAACAAGTTCATTAACCTTCAACTGAACAACTGGATCACAAGAGGGACCAGAGTTATTTTTATTGACTTTACCGTATACAATGCCAATGTAAATCTGTTTTGCATCGTCAGGTGAGTGACTCCAAACCTCTTTATTAATACATTTAAAAAGCATCCAGAGCCCTGGCCAGGTGGCTCAGTTGGTTAGTGTGGTCCCATAAACCAAAAGGTTGCTGGTTCGATTCCCGGTCAGGGTGAGTATAGGAGGCAATAGAAAAATGTTTTTCTCTCACATCCATGTTCCCCCGCCCCCCCGCTTCCTCTCCTGAAAAGGGGGAGAAAAATCAATGAAAAGCATCCAGAGCCCTCCTTAGGATTTCCAAGGGTTTTTTTGTTTTTTTAAATATATCTTTATCGATTTCAGAGAGAGGAAGGAAGAGAGAGAGAGATAGAAGCATCAATGATGAGAGTCGTCATTCATCAGCTGCCTCCTGCACGCCCCTGAGTGGGGATGGAGCCCACAACCTGGGCATGCGCCCTGACCGGGAATCGAACCTCGATGTCCTGGATCCTAAGTCAATGCTCAACAGCTGAGCCACGCCCGGCCAGGCAGGATTTTCAGTTCTTACATGTCTGTACTGAGATTAAAATTATAAGCCTGAGGCCTGGCCAGTGTTGCTTAGTGGTCAGAGCATCAGCCTGCACACCGAAGGGTCTTGGGTCTGATTCCTGGTCAAGGGCACGTACCTGGGTTGCAAGTTCAATCCCCAGCCCCAGTCAGGGCATGTGCGGGAGGCAATCGATCAATGGGTCTCTCCCACATAGATGTTTCTCCCTCTCTCCCTCCCTTCCACACACTCTCACAAAATCAATGGAAAAAATATCCTCGGGTGAAGATTAACCAAAACACATTTTTTTATAAGCTTGAAAATAAATATAATGTAATTCTGCTAATAATGAAAAAGGTAAAATAACATCATATTCAGTTTCATTATTTCAGAATATATTCAAGAACTTGGAGAATTACATGTGTTAGTTTTATATTACTAAAGGATATATAGTCTTATTTCTTGTGATTCTGCAATTGCAGAGATCTAACATTGAGTCTTGATGATTTCTTCTATTCAAATCATTCAAATCTGTTATTTTCTTTCAGAATGAGCTTCTTTATTAAGTTATTAATCTTTGTCTCAAGAATGGGCAATTTTTATTTTAAAAAATATTTAACAGTAGCTAGCATCCTAGAAATGATTAGAGCTTGTAGTGATTTGCAAAATTGGCACCAATTCTTCACATCTTTGCCATGTAACCTTGCAAGTGCCCTGCCACCCAGGGCAGGGTGCACTGCCCCAGCCCTTGATGCTTGGACTCAACCATGTGATTTGCTTTGATCAATGGAATGTTAGCAGATATGACATAAGCAAAAGCTTGAAATGAGTTTGTACATTAAAACTTGCTCTCTTGCCCTGGCTGGGTATGTCAGTTGGTTAGTGTCCTTCTGATACGCCAAGACTGTGGTTGGATCCCTGATCAGGGCACATACAAAAATCAACCAATGAATGCATAAATTAGTAAAACAACAAATCTCTCTCTCCCTTGCTCTCTAAAAAAAATTTTTTTTAATTTAAAACTTGTGCCTGGCTGGCATGGCTGAGCAGTTGAGCGTCGACCTAGGGGTCAGGCAATTAGGGTTCAATTCCCGGTCAGGGAACATGCCTGGGTTTCGGGCTCCATCCCTAGTAGGGGGTGTGCCGATCAATGACTCTCTCATCATTGATGTTTCTCTCTCTCTCTCCCTCTCCCTTCCTCTCTCTGAAATCAATAAAAACATTTTTTTAAAAATTTTAGATTTAAAAAAAAAATTTTAACTTGCTCTCTTGCATCTCTGCCATCGCATGAGGACATGCCTGTGCTACCCTGTTAACCCACGAGGAGAAAGAGACATCCTCTTATGAAGAAGGGGGGGTGGGGGGTGGAGGAGGAAAGAGAGGAGAAGGGAGAGGGGAGGAGGGAGGAGGGAGCCAGGGAGAACCAGTCAGAAAGAAAATGTTCTTTCCTTTAGTCCAGTTACCTTAGGCTAACTGCCTAACCTGGACCATGCTAACTGGTTAGGCCTGGGTTCTAGAATCAAACCCTGGTAAAGGAAATAGGGTTACCATGGCTGGATCTGTCTGGGGATTGAATCCAACCCCTCTGAGATCTGGGAGAGGGTGAAGACCTGAGGTAATCAGGGCTCTGTTTAAAAGAAGGAATGGGCAGTGACCGCTCGGCAGGCAAACAGTAACGTCCACATAACCTCCGTGAGCCGCTTTTCCATCATGAGTCAGGGTTTACCCTGAGTGGAATATGGATCGGTGTTTCCTCTGATTAGGGGATCTTGCCCTTGTGCGACATTTTACAGTGAAACAAACCATGGCCTTTAAAATTTGTAAAAATGAATACAACATGGGCATTATACCTATTCTTTTATAGATCTTCTCTTCAAGAATTAAGAGTTGTTTCTTTAAATATGTTTCTAGTGATTTTTGAGAGGGAGAGGGAGAGAGAGAAACATCCGTGAAAGAGTGTCCCTCAGCTGCCTCTTGCATGCCCCCTATTGGGGATCGAGCCCACAACCCCGGGCATGTCCCTGACCAGGAACCCAACAGGCGACCTTGTGGCGCATGGGGCGACACTCAGCCAAGCAAGCCACGCCAGCGGGCAAGAAACCGGAGCTTTTACCCAGCATTATTCGCCCTTCCCACTAGTCCTCCTCAGGATAAAGTGAAGACTACTTTATTTACTTCTATGTCCTAAATAAGAGTAGAAACACCGGGGTAACTGGCTCAAAGGCATATGAAGGACTCCTTGTACTACTAGGTTAAGTCCAGAGTTCCTTTCTCTAGGTTTTAGGCTTATTCTGTGTTACCTTTTAAAATGTTATTTTTTAGAAACTTCAGCAGATTTTGAAACTTTTATCTGGTAGTGTATCTAATCAGCAGTTGTGAGGAAGCATATTGCTTACACTAAGACCTTATCTACTTAAAATATCCTTGCGTGAGGATTAACCACCACAAAGGCGTCCTTTTTGTGGCTGTGTCTAGGAAGGCAAATGCTGTCCTCTTTCCTCTTTTTGCTTATATGTTTACACTTCAGGTCAAAATACTGAGTTTCTTTCAAGTCACTCACTTATCCAACCTTGCACGCCCACTATGTACAAAGTGAAACAAACAGTTCTCTTTTCCATTTGTTAACTGGGTGTTTTGTTTTTGTTTTGGCAGCACCTTATTCCAGTACCAGTAATATATGGTAATATCTTTAGGCAGGAATAATTACTTTGTGGCATGGCGGTAGAGATGCTTGTTCCTTAAAGTACTTAATTATCTGAACTTGTGGAGAATCCTAGAAGTACAGTGAACAACCTTAAAATCTTACTATATTTAGTGATGGAATTCATTTTTATAATTACATTTGCATATAGATCATATCCAACATCCAGTGCCTAAAGTAGTAACACTTGCTTTAGGAGAATATGTAAGCTTGACATTTAGAAACAAGAACTCTCTCTGATACGCTAAGTATAAAAAGTGCATTTCCCTCCTCTGAAGTGTCTGGGGGAGTCCTCACTAACAACAGTACTAACAGGATAGCATTTCCTTGAACATCAGCTCATCCTTCTCAGGACATAAATTAGTATTTCCAGGTATGAATGAACAATCTGAACAGAATAGAATGAATGTCCAGCTAAAGTCACATCTTACTTTCTCATTTACCTTGGTCTTTGACCACTGAAAATATTCAAAGTACAAAAAGGGTAGAGCCATTAAAAAAAATAAGTCCACTAGAAATTTTTCAAATTCAACCCATTACCTCAAGAAAACGTATTGTGTACAGAATAACTGATTACCATTAAATTAATTTCTAATCAGCAATGATTAGAAATTTCATATTGAATTACATACTGAAATATAAATGCCTGAAATGCACAAATCTAATTTTACAGATTGGTGGCCGAATTCCCTGCAACTGGAGGAATACTTACTTCATGGCAGTTTTACTCTGTGAAGCTCCTCACATACGTTAGCTACTATGATTATTTTATTGCTGCCTGTGAAATCATATTTTTAATTTTATTTATTGTCTTCATAACACAAGAAGGCAAAAACATAAAAGAATTTAAGTCAGCCTATTTCAAAAGTATTTCGAACTGGCTAGAATTACTACTTTTGGTGGTAAGTATATGTTCACCTGTGTGGGTGAAGGGACTCACATATGAACCCATCAATAAGAGGTATAAAAAGCCAAAGTTTCTACTCGTCAGGACTTATTTTAAAAGCTGCAAGTATCAGTCCTAAAATGAATTGTATAGTACATACTAATGGTGGGCCTCTGAAAGGGAGAGGCCTATTTCTTTTTCCTGGTTTGGTCCATGGGATGACCAGCATGACCTAAAGGAATAGGTAATTCCATAGGCATTATGATTTAATGTGCACAGTAGGTCTCACCTACTCCCACTCAAAAATGTATTCCTTACAGGGCCTCATGTTTAAAATCATGGATCTTTGGGGATAAGGTCCTTTAAAATGTACCTCTTCTCTGTTGCCTAAATCTTTTCTCCTCACAATAAATTTTGAGAATAGCCAAAAGACACGCCAACAAAAAATACTGAAAGAGAAAGAGGTTTGAGCAGCCAGAGGGTAGCTTGTGGGCACGGAGGACACCAGGATGGGGAAATAGTCCTTGAAAGAAACTCCAAAGACTGCCAGTCCTGGTCTCTAGCACATACTAAAATAAGCATAGAGACGTAGGCAGGGTGGGACAAATGGTAAGAGCTTGGTTTCAGGAACAATGAACAAACATTTCCGATTTATACAATCTGATCTTTCACCCCGACTGGCCAAGTTGGCATGGCCTTGTCTCCCAAAACAAGGATTGGAAGTTTATCAGAGTCAGAAAGTGTGTTACTTACCTTTCTGGTATCCCCAATAATGTTTAACATATGGCAGGAATAGTGTTAAATGTTTAACAATTTGGTTATTTCAAAGCTGTTAAAAAACACTGAAATAACCACTCTCTCTGGTTATTTCAGTTATAAAGCTCCAATACCTAGTTCTGAAATCTTCTAAAGAAGTTGTTACAGGGCTCTAAAGGGCTTGTTTATTTATTTGAAACTGTAAAATTTTTTCCTTGTAGTAAATTTTTAGGTATCATGTGGTTACATGGAGCAAAAACCCTTAGAGCCTGGTCAGAATTATATAAGCATTTTATACATTTGTGTTTTATGACTGACTCAAAGAAACAAACAGGCAGATAGATCAGGATGGCCGGGTGATCACCACTTTATGATGATTGTTACCTTAAACTGCTATAAATTGAGACTTACTTCCAGTTACTAAAAGCCTACGTTTTCTCTCTCCCTCCCTTTTGTTGAATTTTTTCATGTGCTTCTTCATAGGCTGCAGGAGATTTAGACGTAGAAATAGCCTCTAATTTAACCCTTCTTTTTTTCCATATAGTTGTGTTTTGTGGCCATTCTCTTCAACTCATACTATAAACTGCAAATTTTCCTCTTACTTGAAAAGCTGTTAAAAAACACTGAAAATTATTCAGACTTCTATTTTCTTGCATACTGGCACATTTTTTACAACAATATAATTGCTATTACCTTCTTCTTTGCGTGGATAAAGGTATTTATATTTTATTATATTAGGTACAACAGAATAGATAGAATATTTTTATATTAGATATCAAGATGGGAACTTAAACTACAAAGTCATGAAAAAACAAAAGGATACCCTTAACTGTAACGTAATTTTAAACATAGTTTGGCCAGCCCTGGCAAGTTTGGCTCAGTGGTTAGAGCATCAGCCCTCGAACTGAAGGGTCCAGGGTTTGATTCCTGCCAAGGGCACGTTACCTCGGTTGCAGGCTTGATACACCCGCCCATCCCCAGAATCGAGAGACACATTGATGTTTCTCTCTCCCTCCCTCCCTCCCTTCCACTCTCTCTGAAAAGCAATGAAAAAATATCAAGTAAAAAAAAATAGTTTGGCCATGTAGCAATCGCTCGCACATCCTCACCCCCCCACAGACTAGCATTAAGCGCCTCCTTTAATTTGAAGCTTATTTTAAGTAATTAGAATCTTTAATATTCTATTTCAATTAACTTTGTTCTTTTTCAGATATTCAAATTCATAAGCTTTAGTAACACAATGTCTCAGCTGTCATCAACCTTCTCCCGCTGCACCAAAGACATAGTAGGATTTGCCATTATGTTTTTTATAATATTTTTTGCTTATGCCCAGTTAGGATTCTTTGTTTTTGGATCACAAGTTGAAGATTTTTCCACTTTTCAAAATTCCATGTAAGCTAATTAATTATATATTAATTATATATTAATTATATAATTATATAATTATATATTAATTAATTCCATGTAGACTAATAAATTAATTATATTTTCCAGTTGATAACCAAAAAAAATCATGAAAAGATCTGTAACATGAGCTTTAATAACTTTGAACCTGGTTTGATATTTTCCCTGATGGCTAAACATGTCATACTCAAAGTACGGTTAGGCACCAGAAGGCCCAAATGGATGGCCAGAGCGGTTTTGTAAGTGTTACTAGGTCAAGTTGGAAAAATAATTTTCATTTCTCAGAAATGAAAGTTTTACCTGACATAAAAGAAACTGATTCTGGGAAAAGGAAATCTTACGTGTTTTCTCTAGAAGGCTCCATCTTTGGAATCCTTTTATTGAAGCTGACCTGATTTGCTGCTCTGGCAAAGCTGTTTAACTTTATATGCATAAAGCTATCAGAATGCAACAAACCTGTAAAACTAATTAGAATCCCTACAAAAGTATCCAGGCTTTTCTTTAAAAGCAAATGATGTTAATATTACTCCCCTTTTTGGGTAGGTAAAGCAAGTTCTGTTTGTATAAGAAAATTATGATAGTCTAAATATCAATTCTCAAAACACACTCTGTGGACTCTAGACCAAGACTGTCTGGGGGAAATGGCCTCATATTTAAGTAAGACTGGGGAATTTTGCATGCATAGTAACGCATGGCTGTGAGGGGGAAACGCGATAACTTTCTTAACTTCAGTTAAGAATTCTCCAAACTTATCTGTTCATGACCCTCTGGTCTAAAAAAATGTCTTAGGTTGCCCTCTTTTCACCATCCACATGTACATAACTGAAGTACCAATTATATAAAATTTAATAACATTTTTCTGAAATAACCCTTCACTAAATCAGTAGGGGGAAGAAGAGTAGACTAGGAACCAAAAGGATTTAACTCTACTTTTCCAGTTATGCCATGTGCCATTTAACGTTTCTAGAACCTAAGTTATCTGTAAATGAAAGGGCTGAACTCAATCACTTCAAGGTCCTTCCCAACTTCGAACTACCTATAATTTAAGAAATCTAATTAGCTTCTCCTGAGAGAATAATGTCTGCAGTTCTAACAACTTCTTAGGTCATTTCCTAGGATCTTATTTCAAGTATTACTTAAAACTCAGTAGTACTGGATATTGAATATAAATTTAGTAATTTACAGAACGTCGGAAATTTGTCTTACCTTAGTTAGTGGGGGAAAAGGAAGTATAAGGCACAGAATAGACAAGTAGAGAACTCTGGAACAGACTGAGGGTATTTTTGTGCTTGGTAATGATGTACTAGGTTATCCAGATCAACTGCCTCTTCAGAACAATCGAAAAAGCTAGAAAACACTGAAATTCTATAGGACTGACAAAAAAGTGAGTAATAATTGGGCCACAATGAGAAGGCAAAAATCCAGAGAAGCCCAGCACCCAATGCTACTTTTGCCCTGAGGCTTTTTTTTTAAGTCATTAAGAATTTTTTTTATTGTGGTAAACCACACATAAATTTACCATCCTGACCATTTCTAAGTGTATAGTTCAGTGATATTTAGTACACTCGTATTGTGCAACCATCCCCACCACTCCTCTCCAGAACTCTTCTTTCACCCTGCAACACTGAAACTCTATGACTGTTAAAAAAGAACTCCACCTCCCTGCTTATCCCAGACGCTGGCAACCACCGTTCTACTTTTTGTTCCTATGATTTTGATTACTCTAGTTACCTAGAGAATCATACAGTATTTGTCTTTTTGTGACTGATTTATTCTGCTTTAGCATAATGTCTTCAAGATTCAACAATGTTGTAGAATAGGTCAGAATTTCCTTCCTTTTTGAGGCTGAATACTATTCCATTGTATGTCTATACCACATTTTGCTCATCCATTTATCTGTCAATGGACACTTGTGTTGCTTCCATATTTTAGCTACTGAGAACATGGGTGTACAAATATCTTTCTGAGGCTCTTTTAATTCTTTTGAGTATATACCCATAGATGGAAATGCCAGATCATATAGCAATTCTATTTTGAATTTTTGAGGCACTGCCAGACTTTTTCACAGTGGCTCTAAGATTCTGCATTCCCATTAACAGTGCACAAGAGTTTCAACTTCTCCACAAAGGTGCGGAGCACACCTGCCTCTGTGTCTGCACCTCTGTGATCAGAAGCAGCAATCAGAAAACAAACTTCTGATGTGTGGAGAACGGGGTCCTTATTTCCCACCTGAGCCCCACAAGCTGCGTGCGAACTATTCCAGGAACACATGCACAGCTGTATGCCATGGGATGGAGCACGGGAGATGGGTAGCTGCTGCCAAACTAAAAACTGAAGTTGACCAAAACTGTCTGAGCCTTTCCTTGGAAATTGCAAGCTTTCAATAGCATTCCAAAATAATTACATCGGACAGCTGCCAATGTGATTGTCGTCTAGGTGGGCAGACAGATTACTAGGTTTTTCTTACTGCACCATCTTCCCAAAATCTCCACTTGAAGGCATTTTTGCTTTTTCAGAAAAAATAGTTGAGAAACTGTGTTTCTGACCACCTCTCGGGAAGGAGACAAAAGGCAAAGCCCAGGGCCTGCATGTGTGTTTGTGTTAGGGGGTGGGGGGCAAAGGTGGATTTTCTGATAACCTCTCTACAAATCAAGCATGAAGCCTAAAGTGATACAGCCTCAAGTTAAAAGTAAATCCCTTATAGTGACTTGAAGCCTTGGTTTAAGCATCTAGGTGTCCAAGGAATCCCATGTCTTAAATTTGAATTAAGACATCCCAGGCCAGCCAGGCGGGGCAGGACTCAGCGGTTGAGCCTCGGCCTAGGATCCAGATCGAGGTTTGATTCCCGGTCAGGGCACATGCCTGGGTTGTGGGATCGATCCCCAGTCAGGGGCATGCAGGAGGCAGCTGATCAATGACTCTCTCATCATTGATGTTTCTATCTCTCATTTCCTCTCCCTTCCACTCTCTGAAATCAACAAAGATATATTTTTAAAAAAAGATATCCCAGGCTAGAATACCTGCATGAACCTGCAGACACAAACAAAAAAATCTCTCTGGGGAAATATGTCTTCATCCTAAGCATCAAATTACTTCTACAAGTAGTTTTTCAAATATAATTTACTTTTTGTAGTCAAAGATAACTTGGTACATAAGGGGAAAATAATCATTAGCAAGAACCAGCAGATAACAATAGACAAAAGAAACAGACGCAGAGACTTCAGTGATTGGAATAACCAAGCAATACTTACTAAAATTAGAGAAACAGCATAGTATAAAGAGTGACATTTGAAAAGTATAAAATTGTTTTATGAGTTCCGGAACTAAAAAATTACAGCAGCTGAGATTAAAAACCCAGCTGACAGGTTTGACAGCAAATAAGACACAGATGAAGAGAGTGAGTAAAGCAAAAAATAGGTCAGAAAAAAATTATAAAAAATATAGAGAGAAAAACGTTGGGAAAGGGTATGAGACATAAAGGATAGAATGAGAAGGCCTAATATATATTTATCCTACATTACGGGAAAAGACAGAGCATAACAGAGGTAATATTTAAAGAATGCTTGGGAATACCTATCACCCAACCATGCCTCTGAGCGAGAGACTGGGAAGTCACATCAACCACAAATGGTACATTATTATGAAACAGTCTTTAGCTATTTTTAGAGAGAACTCTAAAAAGTTAGCAGTGGTATCAAGAAGTTACAAAAGTATTTCCATTCAATAGAACCTGTATGCTGAGAAGTTATGGTGTTCCTTTTAGCTTGAAAAAAGAAACAAAGGATGAACTAACCTAAAATCAAGAGGAGAAAAGTAACAATTACATTGCATTCGGAGTCTTCCAGTTCCTACTGATTACAGCCGTTCAGTAAATTGCTCAGGATTGTTATTCACATTATTATTTATACAGCAGAGGTACCTGGGTGCTGCCCTGATAGGAAAAGGCTGAATGGAGGCTTTAGTTAACGAGTTAATTGCTAGAAAGGAGAAATGGTGCCTTTCACTTATCTTATATAAACACAACTCAAGGATAAAAGATCAAGTTAGAAATACTAAGACAGAACCTCTTACTCTATCCCAAAGAGGAAAATACATTTGATTTGTCGCGAAATTTTGGTCTCCTTGCAATTCAGCATTTTTCTTTTAATGTTGTATAGAACAGCATTAGAAACCAGTATTAAAGGTTGGATAAATACTTCAAGCATAATTTAGTAAGGTCTTAGGTACTGGGGGTGAAATTCCAGATAACTGTGGAGTCCTAGGACTCCAGCTAGCCGATTTCTTTGAAAACAGTTCTTCCTTCTTTGTATATAGTCCTCTGCCCCCTTTATGTGATTGACTAAAGCAACGAGGGACAAGAAACGGTCTCCCTTTTGACTGACTGGCCAATCATACAGAGAATCTACTTTTAAGAATTCCTTCCAGATTTCCCTGATAAGGAGCTCACACACACAACTCATATCCCTGGTGTGTCTGGCAATGCCACTGCAAATTGATGAGAAAATAAGACATCAGATTAAGAAATTCTAATAAAGCCTTGGTTTCTTAATTTGCCACCTTTAAAATTAAGAAAATGAAGATTTTAAAATATTTTAAATGCTATTTCACATCAAAACCAAACTTTTATAGTTACCAAAGAGAATAAAATAAACCTCAGGAACGTTACCTGCATTTGTTTGAGACTTAGCAGGTGACAAATTAATGGCCTCATTTTTAAAAAGCGCTAAAATTAAACATATCATTGATATCAGAAGAAATTTTAGGGCTCCTGGGTCTAGGTACAAGTTGCAAATCACTTGGACAAGGCCCGAGCATCCTAAGCTTTAGGAGGGCATGGGGATAGCTAAGGAGGCCCCTATGAAGATCAGGCAGTAAAAAGGCATCTCAAGGTTCGTCTTGTAGGTAAACATTGGGTCCACTCTAGTGAAATAAACTGAAGCCCACCCCAAGCCTCGCCTTCAGGGAACTTCCCACACCCGGCTTTACAGAGCTCTGTGCTAATGTGGCTAAAGCCAGACCACACGCCACACTGAGCGAAACACTTCCCGAGACACCTGGGTAACCCCTTCAGTTGTCACGTACGTATGAAGGGATATAATATTTTCTCATGTTTTTCTTTGTTCCCATCAAAGATTTGCACAGTTTCGAATTATTCTTGGGGATTTTAATTTTGCTGCTATTCAGCAAGACAGTCGTATCTTGGGACCCATTTACTTCATCACCTTCATCTTTTTCGTGGTCTTTATAGTGTTGGTAAGAATGACCGTATATGTTCCCTTTTTTTTGCTTGCAAATTTTAGAATGAAAAAATGAGCAATTTAGAAGAAATTACAGTATCACTGCTTAGCTGTCAGAACGCCTGACATTTATTAAGAACGGTGTAGATTCCTAGTAATCCAGGCTCTCTGGTCCAGCTGTCCAGTGGAGGATGTGATCACAGTAGTTACCATCTGGGAGTCTGTGTGACACAAACCTGCGAGACCTTTTAGATATAACTTGAATGTCCCAGTCTCTCGAGCCTCAGACATTCCATACCAGTAGGTATGAATCAGGCCGTTAATATTCTGCCCATATTACAAGGACTTTTGGCCCTCACAGCCGAAAGCTCACACCCCTGGTTTTTAGGACTCCCCAGGATGGGTCTCATGTATGCTCAGGGCTAATCTGTTTGACTTTCCTAATCAAGGAACCTTGCCCTCCTAGTCAAGGCACTGCTATTGTCCTCCAAGAAAACATTCTGTTGTTGCTGTGCACAGCAGTTATCCCCTGGTAATGGCCAAAAGTCCTCATGTGACAGAGCTGGGTCACAGTGAAAGTTGGGAGAGATGGGCTGGGGATAAGAATACCCTCCCCGCAACTGTTTGTGTTACCTAAACATTAGTAATCATAAGAGCCTTAGTAAGATTGTGTTTTACAGAATTAAAAAAAAAACAAAAACCCTTATGAACATACAATGCAAGTTTTCTTCTAATATGTAATATTGATAAATTAATGTGTATATATACATAACCAGTTCATAGGCACTATTTTAAATTCTGCTGTTTTCCATAAACATATCCACACGCTACACATTACCCAGTCTACTATATTTTAGTCTTCATAGCCATTTCTCTATTACTGACCACATGAATTACTTATAAAATTTTAATCTAATTTTACAAATCCTATCACTTGTCAAAGTCACTAACATTTAAACTAAATTTTTATTGAAATAATTATTTGAATATTTCTCCCCAGAGCATGTTCTTGGCAATAATTAATTATACCTATTCGGAAGTGAAAGCTGATTATTCAATAGGCAGAAAGCCAGATTTTAAACTTGGCAAAATGATTAAAAAGGTATGTCAAATTCTTTTCCTAATTAGAATTCTAAGACAAATCTTGTTCAGTTTATACGCTTGCAGTTTGAACCCCAAGTGGTAGTGGGTTTTGGTTTTCTGGGGTGTTTTTTTTTTTGGGGGGGGGGTGGCCCAGCATTAATATTTGTATTCCTCATTACCAGGGCAGTGAGATAAGCTGTCTTTATTAAAAAGTGTGGCCAAAATTATTTCAGAGTTTAATGTATCAAACAGCAATCGAGCTATTTCCTAAATGCAAAGCATTGAATAAAAGTATATTTTCCCGCCAAAATTTTTCAGTTTAGATGCTGGCAAATTTCTATAAATAAACTAAACTCAGAACTCCATGTGCCTTATCTTCCTCACTTTCCCATCTCCGTTATTGACAACACTCTTCCCAGTCACCCCTGGCTCACAAATCTTGGATCTATTTCCTTGTCCCTTATATGATCTGTTGCCAAGGCTTGTGTATAGTTTTTGCTCACATGTGTGGAACTCGAGGACACTTCGATTCTAACTGCCACCATTAGGCCCTCAGTACTTTTCACCCAGCCTTCTACATAGTAACATCTTACCTGGTCTAGCCTCTTTCCTGTGCCAGGCCAGCTCTGAGCACATCACTTCTCCGCTCATAATGCTTCAGTTTCCCTGGGCCGACTGGCCGGTGATGCTCAGTGGTTGAGCATCGACCTATTACCTGAGATTGTGGTTCGATTCCTGGTCAGGGCACATGCCTGAGTTGTGAGCCCAGTGGGGGGTGTGCAAGAGGCAGCCGATCGATCAATGACTCTCATCATTGATGTTTCTCTCTCTCTCCCTTCCTCTCTCTGAAATCAATAAAGATATATTTTAAAATAAAATAAAATTACAAAGTTTCCCTGGGCCTATCAAAATAAGTCCAAATTCTTTACTCAAACATTCAGGGTCCTTCTAAAGTCGGACAGCCCCAAACTACTTTATTTACTATCATCTAACTATAGATTTTCTACCCCCTGTTCCTCCATTTCCAGCATGGTATGTCCCAGCCAGTTTTAAGCACAGTGCTATTTACCATGCTTGCTCTCTCCCCACTCTGCTCATGTCATTTTCTGACCCCAAGTATATTCCATCCGCTCTCTCACTGACATTCTACTCTCCCTGACAGAGTGGAATCTTCTCTGTCCTCTTGACACTACTTCACTTTGGGTGGGAGCAGCATCACATGTGTTACACACTATCATGCCTACTTCTGCATTTCCACAGCTTTAACTATAGCACTTAACATGGAAAAGGTCCTAATAGCTGTTTTGGTTAGTGGGGCTTAAGAACTCTGTCCAAGAACTTATCTGTAAAAGAAAACTATTAATATGTCCCCCAATGAGCTTCCTTGTGGTTTCATCTTTTATCTCAGTTATGATTTTAGTTATATGCATTAAAGTGTTAACATCTTTTTTTTTTTTTTTAATTGATCTTAAGGAGAGAGGAAGGATGAGGGAGAAACACTGATGTGCAAAAGAAACATTGACTGGCTGCCTCCTGCAGGCCCCCTACTGGGGATCAAGCCCAAAACCTGGGCACGTGCCCTGACCAGGAATCGAATTGGCAACCCAATCGAACGGTGCAATGGGAGGATCCCCACCCAGCTGAGCCATACTGGCCAGGGTGTGTTAGCATCTTTAATGCAATAAATGTTAATAATACTTTTTAGAATTTTTATTGTTGACACCATTACAGATGTCCACCTTTTCCCCACCTCCTCCCAGTCCCACCCCAGGCTCCCCTGGCCTTCACCAAACATTTGTCTGTGACCACGGGCTACACATATATGTTGTTAATAGTAATTTTTAAAGGCTATTTTTTTCAAGTGCATGTGTGATGCCCACAGGGGAACCCGTTTTACCAGCAGGCAGAAACCTTAGTGCTGACCAACTGAAAGGAGGACAATCATAATATTTGCCTCTACCTTTCCTTAGAGTAGCAGTCCCTAGACACAAGCATTCCGTATTTCCTTCACATGGGCCAAAAATTAACAATACAGGATAGATTTCTGATTTTTAATTATGCCTAGAATTACAACAGTGTCCTCAGAAAACTCAAACTAAAGAAACCCGAAAAGTATGAAGACAGTAAAAGGTAAGATGGCTTTAAATTTTTTTTTTTAATGATATCTTCTTGTTTCACCTTTTTTTTTTTTTTTTTTAAATTT